ATCCACGTGCCTCCTTCCGAAAACGATTTATAAAGCGGAACGGGCTTTTTCAGGCGGTGGGTTCGAACAGGTGGCTTGCTTCGAGCTGGCACAGGTGCCCTCGGCATATCCGTTTTCTTGTTCTGCTTCCGCCAACAAGAAAAATGGGTAGTAGAAGAGCGTTCTAGTTTTTTGGAGTGAGAGAGAGAAAGAGAGAGAGAGAGAGAGAGAGAGAGAGAGAGAGCTAGCTAGAAATTTAAGCGGAAAATATTTTAGCTATGCGCAAGGTTTTAAAATGCCTAAAAAGTTCCGTATCGGCTTATAGAAGGGGTATGTTTGCCCAAGGAACCGGCTAAATAAATATACTGAAAGTCGAAAAACTTTGGAACGCAAAAATGCTGAATACAGCGATGTTTGGGGACCAGAACGCCGCTGGACTATGCAATATCTTTGCAATATGGCTTCAAGGTACTAGAAAGCGCGTGAATCAACCCCTTCCTGTGGCTAGGTCTCGACAGCTATGCTACAGGCCAAAAGACGCAAAGAGTGATTGATACTTTGCCAAAAAGTTGCGTGCTGCGTCTTTGGGCGTGATCGAATTGACGAATTGGAAAATTGACGGAAACGACTTTTTTTTGGGCGGGTCGCGTAGCTGTCGAGGCCTAGTAGTTGGTAGGGGTTGATTTTCGCGCTGACTAGTCCCATTTAAAGACAAAGCTGGGAGTCTGTATCAAATCCTCAACCGCTTCAGGAAAATGGCTGTCGAGACCTAGCCGATTGGAAGGGTAAATTATCGCCTTCCTGGTGCCTTTAGAAGTAATAAAAAGATGAATTTGAGGATCCTTCGGGTCCGCAAAGCTAAAAACTCCCAAAAATCTACATCGGTGCTCAACCGTTGAAATAACTGTCAGGAGCTAGCCAATGGAAGGGTCGATTCTCGGCTTCATCGTCCCTTTAAAGGAACGAAAGTGGGCGTTGGCGTTCAGATAGCCAATCCGGAAAGTCGCAAATTTCCCAAAAATCCTTCCCCTCTTCCAAAAAAAAAAGTATTTTTGGAGTGGGGCATCGACGCCCGAGAAATCCGACCCACCCCGCCCATTGGGGTCGGTGCCCAAATTGTGTTAGCCAACTTCCCAAAAAAACACACACACACAGAGAAGCAAAAAAGGCGGCTGGATAGCCCGGGGGATTCCACGTTCGTCAGGTGTCCCCCTTGCTGGCGAACCGCTGGGAACCACAGCCACAGACAGCAAAAAAAAATCCGTTGAAAGATTTATTGGGCTGATTGCTATAATAGTGCAGAGAAAGCTAACGTATATCTCGTGATACATCTCTGCCTTAACTGACTTTCATTGCGTAATCGGTTGCTGGATCATTTTTAGCTCCAGCACGCCCCAGAACGTCAAAATTTAAAGTATGTGACTAGTGTTGGTTTTTTACCGGTACCGAAACCCAGTACCGGTACCGAACGCCCCTTGGGTACAGCGGTACCCGGCGGGTACCGGTACCGAACATCGTTGCCGTGGACCGGTACCAAGTGACTACCGACGGCTTCCGTATGCTTAGGCTTAGGGGGCCGGCTTGCTTCCGGGCAGTGGGCCAGACGCGTGGCGTGTCGCCGCTGCGTACCTTTTTTTACAAAATAAATCCGATTCCTACCTTTATTTATACTGGGTTTTGTATTGTTATCTGTTCTGACTAAATTCTGCTCTTGCCTTCATTTACAGGGTGTCCCAATAAAAAAGGTCACGCTGGCATTTCGCGATTTCGAATCTGCACGACCTGAAATTTGGAACAGAGCTGCGGAAGGCAATTTAAAATGTTCACAGAAACTTTCAGCCCGGTCGGTACAGTAGTTTTCGAGTTATAACAAAAATACTGTTTTTTTCAACACTTTTGTTTCATTTTTTCGGCTATCTTTTTGGACTTTGCATCAATTACCATCAATTTCGGCCCTAAATCTCTCCTAAATCATTCTTCTTAACATCGGGGCTGATAACACCTTATTAAAAATACTTAAACAACCAATTTCCAAGACGAATTTTACGAAATAAAAAATTTTCTGGGGTAAAAAGGTCGACGCTTCATTTTTGCCATACATCCCAAGGCGCAATTCCCGCGAAATCCAGGTTAAAAATAACTCGAAAACTACTGCACAGATCGGCCTGAAAGTTTTCAATTTAAATTTTCAAAAATTTTAAAAAAAGTTAAAAGTTAAAAATTTAAAAAGTTTTAAAATTTTAAATTTCAGATCCATCGGATTTGAAATGACAAAATGCCGACAACGCTGCCCCCACCCGCCCGACTTTAGTGCGTCGTTTCGGCCCCAAATATCGATAACAATCGCAATTCCTCCTATTTCCCCTTCCAACTGCCATCCACCGCACCCATTCCAATCGAAAAAACCCCAAAAACTCGCAATTTTTTAGCCATGAGTCCGGGCTCCCCGGGTTACGGTAGCCCCGGAAACCGAGTGGATATTCGGAATCAGCGTCGAAAACTGGTCTAGCACAGTGTTGGTTAGAAGCGTAAAAGCGCGTTGTAAGCAAAACTACCGTATGTATTGCATTCTCAAAGCTTGTCTACTCGGAGATAGCTTGCATATTTAGAGGCTACAAACTACAACCGCTGGAAGGCGATTATCGGCGTGTTTGGGGACGATTATTTAATTTTGTGAGGGGATTTGGGAAAAAGTGGCAACGTGGAGGGGTAGAGGGGATGGTGCTGAACAGGTGTACTTGTTGAAGTTGTTGGGGAATGAGGTTTTGGGGGTTAAATGGTGGGTTAAAGTTGGGATAATTGATGAATCGGGCAGTTGCGTAGACTGTTTTGAGGGTGATTTCTCTGGCGGATAAAGAGCTATTTGAATAAACTAAACACGCTACCCGATAGTATCTGGTGCGAGGAAGAGCTGCACGTTTCGAGAATTTGTTTAAAATGTCGATTTTGATGTTTAAAAGTGGCCTACTTTTCGAAAATTGTAAAAGTGGGGATTTTGGGTGTTTTGTAAAATGCTGAATTGGGGGCTCGTAAGAAGTATTTATATGTAACCAGCCGATTACAGCCGCTTCGCGACTGCAATCGGCTGGACTTCGGGCTACCCTCCATATTCTACACCACCACATTTCATCCCCACCTTACGCTGATGCCTTCCCGGCAATACCTACACTGATGGCTTCAGATATCTCCTCTAGCCAACCCCCCACAAAAACATAGCTACCTTTCGGATGGCTTCAGATACCCCCATAGCCGAAATCTCCTTCAAAGACTACCTAAATACCTTCCTGGTGGCTTCAGATACCCCCCATAGCCGAAATCCCCTTCAAAAACTACTTAGATTCCATCCCGATACTTTAAATGATTTAAATAATAAATTAACATAATTAAAAAGTATTAAAAGTATTAAAGTAACTTAAAAAGCTATTTGGGCGCGGGAAAGGGCCTGGGGAAGAGGGGCGAAAGGAAAGGGGGCGTGGCCTCCCGGGAAAGGGGCCCCCACCCGTTTTATTAAGGCGCCACTTTCAATGTTAATTTTAATAATTTAAACTAAAACTTTTTGATAATTTTTTGATCAGTTTGGGGGTTTCTGACCACGCTCTATCCGAATCCGAAGAGACCTAAGCTCTAGCTCCTTTCCCCTTCGAGTTGAATCCGGGACACGACGGACAGACAGACAGACAGACGGACGCCTCTACTTTTTTATTATAGTTGATGATGATGATTTTGGGTGGGGAAACCGATGGTGTGGTCAGAATTGGATGAAATGCGTAATTTTGTCGATTTGTCGATAATTATGTCGAATTTGGGGGTTTATGGAAAAGTGGTTTTTAATGCGTGTAGACGTGGTTTTTGGGTTTTTGAGTCGTTGTATCGTATTGCCCGTGCGGAATTACGTATTCTGGCACAATTCCAGATAAAACGAGCGTGATTTGGAATTTTACGGAATTTTTGAAAAATGGCTCCAAAGGGTGTATAGCAAGAAATAGGGCCATCTTCCGAAAATTGCCAAAAATGTCATTTTTGCGAAAAATCCCGATTTTTCGGGATTTCAAGGAAAAACGGGCACCAGCAGCCACCGTAACCCAAAAACCGTCATTTGGAAAGTACCGTAACGGATCGGCCTGAAAGTTTCTGTGAACATTTTAAATTCCCTTCCGCAGCTCTGTTCCAAATTGAGATCGATCGGATTGAAATGACAAAATGCCAGCGTGACCGTTTTTATTGGGACACCCTGTATATAGGCTTTAATTCGAAAAGAAGCACTGGCGGGCCCTTCCCTGTCACCGCGGCGACACGCCACGCGTCTGTAAAAAATGGCTGTCGGTACCGGTACTGGGTTTCGGTACCGGTAAAAAACCAACACTACATGTGACCGCAATTCCATGACGTAATCGGTTACGCGATCTAATCAGAATTGCAGAATCACCTTCAACGCGCTAACTTGAAAGAAATCACGCGTTACGCCATCAAAATCGTTTTGCCAAAATTTCATTTTGTTTAAATATCATTTTGTCGAAATATGGCTGTCAAAATAGGTTTTTCGAAAAATTCCTTTGTCAAAAATTTTGATGCCGTTTCGACCCGACGATTCAACTCAAGAATCTCGCAAATTGAAACTTCACCGCTTTGAAATTTGAAAAAATGATATTTTGACAAAATGAGAATTCGGAAAATTATTTTCGACAAATTTTTTTCGACGAACTGATGGCAAATCACCTAGGCAAAGAGTCAAATAGCCAGGACGCCATTAAATTCTAGTCCTCCTCTTCCACCGATTTTGTTCAGAAGCCGAGCTCCCCGCAAAACGACGTCGTCAGAATTTTCATAGCGTAGTCGGTTACGCCATGAAAATCAGATTAGCTGCCCTTTGTGGCCAAAAATTACAATATTTATTTAGCGGAATGGAAAATAAATTGCTCTGTCGACAGACCAAAATCAGTAAATACTTACTAAAGAAAAACCAAACTCCAAATAAATTATTTCCTAGCGTAATCGATTAGGCTATGAAAATCGGTTGTCTATCCTCGTTTGTGCGCCTTCCTCTGCTTTCTGGCGGCCCGCTTGGCGGCTTTCTGCAAGATTCTATGAATTAAATGTTATTTCTCTCTCTCTTCTCTCTCCTCGCTCGCTCTCTCTCTCTCTCTCTCTCTCTCTCTCTCTCTCTGTCACTTACAGCCTGCTTCCTCGCCAACTTCGCCAGCTTTCTCATATTTTTACGGCTGCCGGCCCTTCGCTTCGCTAGCAGCTTGGCCAGCTTCCGGGCGCTCGGTTTGTTGTAGTGCTAAAAATATAGGTTGTGAAAAGTTATACCTGGCTTACCGACTTCCTCCTCGCTTGTCTCAGTTTGGCTAATCTGGCTCTTCTCTGTTTCCTTAGCTTATTGGCTTTGCCGCGTCTTTGCTTCGTTGTTTTGTCGGAGGCTTCATCTCTAGATTTCTAGGTAAGAAAGAGAGAGAGAGATAACGGCAGCGAGCTTCCGAAGACCGTAAAGACCTACAGCAACAACCGCTTCACATCCGGATCCAACTTCGTCAGGCCGTTGACGAGCTTCTGAACAAAATAAATTTTTAACAACGACTCAAGTCTCACATTTTTCTCCTGAACCTTGATGAGGTCATCCGTCAGCGACCGCCGGAAGCGTGCTTCAGAATTTGCAAGCTCTGGGTCCTAGAATGGGCATTGGGAATGAGCAATGCAGAGGAAAAATTGACCCCCATCTCTAGGCTAGGTCTCGACAGCTACGCGTTACCCACAAAACACGCTTCAAATCAATTTTTGGAAACATGAAATTAAAGAGAAGTCGGTTACAATAGCGCAGGTAACCGCAATTTGGATCAACGCGTAGCATGGCGAGCGAATCGATACCTAGCGAATAAAAGAACGAAATCGATTTTTTTACGTGTCCTAGTCCCTTTAAAACGGGCGATCTAGCAGAGACGCTTGGGGAAATAAAATTCAAGATAACCAGGGTTGAAAAGCCGCTCCGCGGCTTTTCACCCCTGGCCCTCGTCAAGGTACGATCACAAAAATACGTTGCATATTCTGCCAAAATCCCGCTGAAAAAAAATGGGAAATATCCTCTGTAGCCTGATTTTATAGGCAATATCCACTTCCGGTGCATGCAAATTTTGCCTAACAAAGGTACTTTCACAAAAACCTAAATTTAATGTCGAAAATAGCAAAGTTTGAAAAATGTAATACGTCGGCAGTCATCTCCACTCCATTACGCACCAAATGACGTGTCAATAATCTCGGAAAACTTCTTCCCTGACCCGTTATGAGCGGAACATACATCCGGAAGTGGATGCAAATCTACACAGACACACACACACTATTTTTTTATATATAGTAGGATATAGACTCAAGATAAATTATAAGCTGTGAGTTAGGAGATAAACTCTGACGAGCTCTATTTTCAAGACCATTAAAATCCATTTACAAAAGGACAAACATAGCTAGCTACGTTTTTAAAAAATTACAGCGATTATTCCACAAAATTACAAAACAAATGCGCTTGGACGCTAGCTAAAGGTGTAGATGATTGCCGTAAAGGTTTACGATAAAAGCTACCGTATTCTGCTGCTCCTCCTCACAATAACAGACAGATATGAAAATTAATAATATCAAGACCAGATGCTTCATCCCGAATATTGTCTGGAGCCTAGACCAATCGCCGCGAGCCCGCGGAAATTGTGGCGATGCTCCGTTTTATGCCGTGCGGGCTATGGTGCGGGGGGAATGAGGACCGGTCGACTTAAGGGTCTCTATGACTCTTTAAGAGGAGCCGCAGATCTGCTATTCCTCCCCCCCTCCAAATTGCACCAGATCCCTAAAGGGTCTGGGAAGGGAAGGGGAGAAAGTGGGAGGGGAAAAGCACTTCTTCGAGATTAGCCTAGGTGGAACGAACGTCGCTCTCAATGGTGATTGCAACAAGAATAGGTTTTTTGAGAGCGAGAGGGAGAGAGATAAAGGGAAAGAGAGAGAGGGAGAGAGGAGAGAGAGAGAGAGAGAGAGAGAGAGAGAAAGAGAGAAAAGAGAAAGAGCAGGGAGATAAGGAGACAGAGTGAGATCGAGCGCTAAGGAAAAAGTTGTGCTTGCCGGCTAGCCGCAATCTGCTTAAAGAGATGAGGACGGCATCTGTTGAACCCCCCTTGGGGAGGGGGGGTTCAACAGGTCCCACGGCGATCTCGCGCGAGAGAGGGCTCCCAGGGGAGAGGCGCAGAGACATTTTCTTTCCCTCGCGTAATCGATTGACTTATGCCGCCCCTATCTCTTTAAGTAAGATTTGATGTACAAATTCCCTAGCTGCTCGGAAACGATCGCTATCTCTCTCGCTCTCTCTCTCTCTCTCTCTGTCTCTCTCTGTCTCTCTCTCTCTCTCTCTCTCTCTCGTTCTCTCGCTGTCTCTTGCTGTCTCGCCCTCTCCGCTCGATCCTTCATCCTCTCACCTTCGTCCTCCCGTTCTCTCTCTTTCTTTCTCTCTCTCGCTTTCTCTCTCTACCTCACTCTCTCTCGCTCTCTTTCTCTGACTTTAAAAACTCTCTAAAGTAATTCGTTGTCACTATCTGACCTGCTCTCTCATTCTTTCCCTCTCACCCACGTTCTTTGTCCCGCTCTCTTACCAACTTTTTTTACCTGTCGCCATCCCTTTAAATCATCGTTGCTGCTTTGTTGACTTTTTAAACGTACTTTTTTGGTTCTTTCGCATTACCGGGGGGAGGCAATTTTTCCTACAGGCTCAGTAATACTGAGTAATGCAGTAGTAGGTATTTTAATAATATTTTTCATAAAATTTAACGATTATAAACTCGAAAAATTGTCTAAAAACTTTAAAAAGGAAAGGTAGCAATTTTGGTCGAAAAGCAGCCACCATATTAGGTCGAAAGTGGATATTTTTTGATTTTTCATTCAGTCGGATCAGTAGAAACAAGCTCCCCCGATAATTCACAAAAAAAGCGTTTTCTGGTTGTGCTTTCGATCCGGTGTAGTGTTACAGTAACCCCCCACCCCGATACTGCAAAAGAAACCACCTTTTCTGATTCTATTTTGTATCTAGTGCATTTACAGTACTCCCAAAAAGTAAGAATAAATATTTTTTATTCCGTTTTGTTGTCCAAGAGACGGATGATCCTCGCCTAGAGGAGATCTGGTGGTGGGTGGATGTTTCCATATGTGTACAGACAATACAAATTAAATTATGGGGTTATAAATTAAATTGGACGTTCGTTCTGATGGTGTAGTTTGTAGGGAGGAAACGTCTACTCGTTCTTGGCGGCAGCGGCGGCGGCGGCGGCGCGGGCGGCCTTGGCCTTGCGCTGGGCGCGGATGCGGCGCTGGTTGTGGCGGCGGCGCTGAAAAAAGAGCGTATAATTTTGTATCTTAGGCTTTTTCTAGATTTTAAAGTAGGTTAGAATTGGTTCTACAGTAAGATTAAATTTTTACGTTTTTTGCTTACTCGGAAATCAGAAAATCCGATTTTTGAGGTTTTAAAGGGCTTTTGAAGTGACTCCAAAAGCTAGCTTCAAGTTACTGTAGAAATATAATGTTTTTCAGTTTGAAAGTCGCTGCGTTAGCTCGAAAATACAGTACACTTTAGATTAAACTAGTGTTGAATTGTTTCAAATCGTCAAAATCCTGTTTTTTGTGTTTAAAGGGTCTGCGAAATCTGTACTGTATCGTATCTCGATTCTAAAGCTTGTAGAAAATTAATCTGAATTTTTAAAAGCCTCAGACTACTTCAGAAACTTGATTTCTCGATTTATAGAAGCCCCAGACAAATCAGAAAAACCGTTTTTTCGATTTCTCACCTGAGCGCGGGCGCGGATGTGGCGGCGGGCGGCGCGGAGCTTCCTCTGCTTGCGCTGGCGGCGGACGCGGAGGGCGCGGCGCTTGTGGGCGGCACGGCGGCGGTTGGCGCGACGGCGAGAGGCGACGGAGCGGGTGTGGCGGCGCTTGTGGTGCTTCCTCTGAAAAGAGTTGATTGTAAAAGGCTTAGGCTTAGGCTTCGCTTAGCTTTGCTTAGCTTTGCTTAGCTTTAGCTTCGCTTAGCTTCGCTCAGCTTCACTTAGCTTCGCTTAGCTTCGCTTAGCTTCGCTTAGGCTTAGACTTCCCACTCACCTTGGCGATGCGGTGGTGCTTGCGGTGGGCGCGCTTGTGGTGGCGGCGGAGGGCGGCCTTGCTGAAAATGATGGATTTAAAGGGTTGGTGAAGGTAGCGCGAGGGAGAGAGAGAAAGAGAAAAAGAGAGAGAGAGAAGAGAGAGAGAGAGAGAGAGAGAGAGCAAGAGATAGAGAGCACGACTCACCGCTGGTGTCTGCGGCGGAGGGCGGCGCGCTTGTTGTGGCGTCTCTTGGCGACGGCGCGGGCGTGCTTCCTCTTCCTCAGGGCCTTAGCCTTGCGCTGCTTGCGGAGGGCCTTGGCGCGCTTGGCCCTGGAAAACCCAGCATTTCAGGCGGTTTTAAAGGGACTGTAAAGTCAAAAACTCTAAGCCAATCCGGATTTCTAGCTGTCACATCCCCTTTAAAGTCAGTTAGCTGCTTTTGAAGCCCAGGATTAAGCCAAAACTACGAAGTACACCCCCGTACGGTAACTGCCATCTGTATCAAAACGTACTGTCGCTTGGCCTTGTTGATGTCGGTCTTGGGGGCGGCCTTGTGGGCCTCGGCAAGCTTGGCGGAGACGGGCTCGATGGGGGTGACGGCGGCATCCTCGCGCTTGTCGCGGATCAGCTCCGTCTCGGAGGCGGCGACCTCCGATTCGGCGTAGACGGAAAGGGCGCAAAGGCCGAGACCCAACAGCAGGAGCCACGTACGCATCTGCAACGAGTACGGTAATTCGGGTGAGGTTTAGGGCAACGAGAGAGATAGAGAGAGAGAGAGTGAGAGAGAGCGAGAGTGAGAGAGAGAGAGAGAGAGAGAAAGAGAGAGGGAGAAAGAGAGTGAAATAGAGTGAGAAAGAGAGAGAGCGAGAGAGAGAGAGAGGGTGCAAGAGAGAGAAAGAGAGTGAGAAGAGAGAGAGAGAGCGAGGGAGAGAGGGGGAGAGAGGTGGCGTGAGGTCTTTAAAAACGCTAGAAAGTTGAAAAAATTATTTAATTGGATGGAAAGCGCGTATTTTGCTTACGTTTAAGTTTAGGCTTAGGCTTCGCTTAGGCTTAGACTTACGCTTAGGCTTAGGTTTAGGCTTATAAGACGCCCTTTTTAGGTTTAGCCTCATACAAAAGTTCGTCCCAAAAGTGCAAAAACAAGGCCCAGAAGCTCAAGTCCAAGCAGACACCCCCGAAAAGTTCTGCCATTTTATAGCGCTAGCCGATCCAAGGGCAGCGGCAAAAACCGAAATCCACACCCGCCAAAAGCGGCGCCGCGTCCAGGGGATCGCAGCGGAAAATCGAAAGCACGGTAGCGGATGTGCACTATTTGCCAAGGAGGAGATGAAGAAGCCAATAGAGGGGGGCAGGTGAAGTGCCTTCAAGGCATGTTGAAGTGGATGTTGTGAGCATGAACTGGCTGCCCGGGTTTATATACTGGAGATGGGGAGGAGAAGCGGAAGGGGGAGGGGAGGAGGGGAGGAGGAGGTGCCAACATGCCACTCCCCAAGATCGCACCTATGGGATCGGGGAGGACTGTCTTTCACTGTCTGTCTCTTTCGTCCTGTCTCTTTTTCTCTCTTTATCTGTCTGACTTCCTGTCTCAAGCTCGCTATAGCTCCACTCTCTCTCTCTCTCTCTCTCTCTCTCTCTCTCTCTCTCTCTCTCTCTCTCTCCCTCGCTCCCTTTCTCGCTCTCCCGCTCTCACTCTCTCGCTCTGTATCGCTCTATCTCTCGCTCTATCATTCTCACTCTCTCACTTTGAAGCCGACCTCCCCTATCTAACGCTCATTAAACCGATTGGAGCCTAAGTAGGTTGAGCTTGAGCTCTGCATCTGTCTCTCTCTTCATTTTCTCTTACTCACAATCTTACGATCCCCTCGCCCGCTCTCTAGAAAGGTTATATCGTCTTCAAAACCGTCTGGAAGGCTAAGGAGCATGAGCTTCTGCTCGCTATCTCTCTCTCGTCATCCGGCTAGAAAAATAGATATAGGTACTGTAATTTCAGTAAGTTAGAAATTAGCATGGCTGAGTGTCTGTATCCAAAGGTTAAAAAATACTTATTCGCTACGCAGGCCGATCAACATAGGCGCTCTCTCTCTCGCTCGCTCTCTCTCTCTCTCTCTCTTTCTTTCTCTTTATCCATCTCTATCTCTCTCTCTCTTTCTCTCTCTCTCTCTCTGTCTCTCGCTCTATCTCTTTCTCATCCGGAGCGTGGCTCGAAGCCCCCCATAGCCGCTGATGATCCATATCTTCGCGCGCCCGATGCCGGCGACCCCTTTTTTGCGGGCTGGTTTCAAGCCAGGGCAGCCGCCTAGATTCTCCGATCGCCCTCCGCGTCTGGCACGAAGCGCATTGGCATGGTGAAAGCATGAGCATGAGGGTGATCTTGAAAGGGGTTTATGCAAACTACACCAATCTTTTGCCAAATCTCGGCACGCAAATGAGCCCTGGCGTGGTGCTGTTTGATGCCGAGATTTGGGAAATTTTTAGGGGGAAAGAGAGGGAGAGAAAGCGAGAGAGAGCGAGAGAGAGAGAGAGAGAGAAAGAGAGAGACAGAAAGAAAGAGAGAAAGAGAGATTTCGATTTATAGGTGACTTCAATAGTGCACAAAGTTAAACGAAGTTATTCACATCTTCTTAAGCTTCGTTTAAAATTTAAAATCAGAAAATTCTAGTGGCCTTTGAGAAAAACCGGAAAGAAAAGCGCTATTATAAAAAAATTCTGTTGCCTGATGTTCCTTCGGCTGAGCGAAGCTGGCTACAAATTTCTCGTTTTCTCGCCATCAACCCAACTCGGCCGAGTCATTTATTGGCCATTTTTTGTAGTTGCGAAAATCTAATGCTCATGCTCAAAAAGCGACTTCTCCTGCTCTTTTGGCTGGCAGAATATTCGTGCTGTTTGCTAAAGCGTGGCCGCACAGGCGAGACACGCGAGCACGACTCGGTTTTTATCGCCAGAAGCAAATATCGGCACAAAAGGGCGCAAAATGATGTTTTTTCATGTCTTCAAAACGTTCTTTTTCGCTGGAAATCGAACAAACGGGCTTTTTAAAGGGACCTGGAAGACAAATTCTAAAACTTAGGCTTAGCCGTAGATTAGGCTCAGGCCTGGGCTTAAGCTTGCTTAGGCTTAGGCTTAGGCGTAGGCTTAGGTTAGGCTTAGGCTTAGGCTTAGGCTTAGGCTTAGGCTTAGGCTTAGGCTTAGGCTTAGGGTTAGCCATGGGCCTAGAATGGAATCCAGACGGTCGAACTGATGCTACTCTGCTTCAAAACAACCCCCGGGGAACTTTGGCGCCGATGAAGCAGTGAACTCGCTATTCCGTGACCGTCGAAATGGGAATAACAACCCCCAGCCAGACGATCTCTCTGGAGAGCGGCCCAAGTTCGCTTCAGGCTGCGTGGGGGGCTGCAGACGTGAACCTGGGTTAGAGTGGAAAACAACAGCAGCACACTACGACGAGAAGCCCTCAAAAATCTGCAAGTTCTGGCATGCAGCCCTAAAAATCTTGAAATCGTCAAATTGTCAGAGGAAGATTTATGTGTTTTTGACGTTTGCGATTGAGGGTACCGGCGAGAAAGGCTAACAGATATTATTTGGGAATGGAAGGGGCAGACTAGCAGAGATTGTTTCGGGACTTCGTTATAGATTTTTTTTAGATCCGAGGGCGAGCTAGCAGAGATTCTTTGCGGGATCGGCCGGGTAAGCTAGCAAAGATTCTTTCGGAATCTGCTACTCCACATTTTTGCACAATTACTTATGTCTCGGGCTCAGTCAAACTGTTCCGATGAACACCCCCATTACAGTACCCCGCATCAAGTTGCCATGCTCCCCTGTTGTGTATAGGTGTATTCCAGTTCTTCAACGAGATGGCCGAGATCAGGGGGCAATAGATGACGAGCCGATACCCCCTGCCCCTTCTTCCTGTCGTCCTTTGTATCGTCGCGTAGCGGCACACACACGGATACACACACGGACCGGAAAGAGGAGCCAGCCGTAGCCGTTTGTGGGGGGGGGGGTGGCGCATACAGGCCGGTAAATCGAATTCGGCCAACGATAGGGGCTGGCACGATCGTCGGGGGCAGAAGCCTAGAACAGTGCACGCGTTTTCGGAGGGAGCATTTCACTTTCCGGGGGGGGGGCAGGACCCTGATCTTTCGGAGGGCAAGGGATTTTTAGGGGCGTCTAGGGAAGGGGCGGAATTGTCAAAGAATCGCTGCTGACTTGCCAAGAAGATCTTCAGAAGGACGAATGGGGTCTTAAGGAATGGGCGCTAGAATGCCTCTTTGGATTCTCAAAGAATCACGGCTAGCTTGCCTGTTGCTCATCAGAAATAGACTTATCGGGTGCTTAAAAATGTCTGCTAGTTCCCCGGCTCGAATTCTCAAAGAATCCTTGCTAGCCTGCGCAAAAATGCGGCATAAAGGTTAGGTAGACAAATTACAGATTGATTGGACAAAGATTCGACATCTTTGCTAGCCTGTCCCTTCCATTCCCAAATGCTCTCTGCTAGCCTGCCCCTTCCATTCCCAAATGATCTCTGCTAGCCTGCCCCTTCCATTCCCAAATGCTCTCTGCTAGCCTGCTCTTGAAAAAAATCGAGAAAGCGCTAGGAAGCGGTTTTCTCAAGCATTTTTCGCTAGCTGACCCTTGCTGACCCTCGCCCACCCGGGCCAGTAACCTTGTGTAACCTTTGGTTCGACTCTGTCCACCTCGACTACGCGATGTTACAAAGGACACTGACTGCATCGTGACGATCTATTACCTGAACGGTACTATCTGAGAGGCAAAAAGTGAATCGAGAGACCGGTACGGGTCATTAGACTCGCTAGAACTTGTGCACTCCTTGATGTGGAACACAATTACAGTAGGCCATAAGGGGTTCCTGGACGGCAAATAATAGCAGTTTTGAAGGGTACAGGGCAGGCAAGCAGGGATTCTTCGGGAAAATTAGCAAATCGACTCCTCAGTTTTGAATTTTTTTGCAAAAGTTGGTGACAAGCTACAGTACCCAGAAGGGATCCGAGAACGATTAAAAATGGCTGGGTTTTCATTTTGACAAATTCAGACGCAGAAATTCGATTGCGGCTGATTCATTTTGTGAAAATCTCATTGCATAAAGGTTCATTTTGTTAAAATATTGATAAATAAAATCTGTAATTTTTTAAATTTTGATTTTTTTCGAAATCTGGAATTTTTCAGAATCGCTAGGTTCCGCAGGATGCCTCTGGCTGGTCCTCACTCGTTCTAACTCGCAACTCGCGCTCTCTCTCTCTCTCTCTCTCTCTCTCTCTCTCTCTCTTTCTCTCTCTCTCTCTCTCTCTCTCTCTCTCTCTCTCTCTTTCTCGTTTGCTCTCGCTATCTCTCTATCTGTCCCGTTCTCTCTCTTTCTATTTCGCTGCTCGTGTTCTTGCTCCCTCTTTCTCTCAACTTCCGCTCTCCTCAAAAATCCCAAACGAACTTATGAGCAGCAAACGACAAGCTTGCCCGACAGCCAAAGTTCAAAAGTTGGTGTTGATCTCAGCGTCACTGATGACTTTTCGTAATCGGCCGGGAGACTACGCGACATTCCTCTTCACACAGAACCCGCCACCGGCTCTGCCATGCCATTCCGGCGTGTGCGCAATGATGATTTACACAGCGCTGCGAATTTGATCGACTTTCACTCGGTAATGGGAGGCAGATAATCACCCATCGTTATCGAAACCCCTGGCTTCTCCTCGTGGCGCTGCGGGTGATTAGCTAAACGTTTCGATAGGGGGTTGATAAGGATTTTTTGCAGGTTGTGAATGTCAAGGCTGAGCGAAATAACAATTATTTACGTACTCTACGTTGCGCTACGTAGGTTACTGCGTTTCTACATCTAGGGTATGTTACGATACGTCACGGTACTACTTACGGTACGGTAAGTAGCGTACTACGACAAGTTACGGGGGATACGTTGCGTTGTCGCGTTACGTAGGTTACTGCGAAAAATTTGTTACGTATGTTAGGTATGTTACGCTACGTAGAGTACGGTGAGCTACGTGGAAACGGCAAACGGCAACGGTAAACCTGGAAGAATGTTGAGTGAAAAATCCGTAGCTATGCCTTGTACAGCCCTTTAGGGCGTTCAGAGTGACGGGTTAGGTTGGAGCGTAAGCGCGCCGCGGTCGCGTTGCGGACGGTGGACTCGCAACTGCACAGAAAATTCAGTTTTTTCTCGTTCTCTCTCTTCACGTATCTCTCTAGGGTTTCGCGCTCAATATTGTTCACTCTTTAACTCTCACTCTCACTCACTCTCACTGTCTCTCTCCCACTCTCTCTCCCCACGCCAGCTGCCACCACGCCTTTAAAACACCAATACCAACGAAACGCAACGCATCTGTTTTGGTGTCTGGAACTTGGCATCCAACCTCCCCCGGTATGCCTCGGATCGGAATCGGCGAAAGTTCGGGGGCGTCGTCGTGTGTCGTATGGGTTGGACTCGTCGACCTTGTCCGCTCCCCGGCATCCCCATACGTACGGCTACGGCATGCTGCCGGACACGCTGCTGCCACGACCCCCCGTACGCCCTTGAGCTATACAGATGGTGCCGCGATACCCCGCGCTGCGACGACTCCTAAATTGTGCACCTGCACCCCCTGCCGTATCCGTAGCGCATCTAGAGCGCGTTTCTGTGCTCACGCCCGGCGCTTACGCGCTGAAAAAACAAGCTCCATCTATGCATCCGGCAGCAGCCCTTTGCGGAAAGGGAAAAGCGCAATAGCGCGCTGCGAGCGATTGGCAGACGGCGATTAGCCCCGCGCGCGCTGGGGTACAGACGCGGAATACACTGCGCACCGCACACGGGGGGTGGATGATCAAATTTGGGGCATTCAGGGATTGGGGCAAAATGAAAAGTATTGGTATTATTTTTCTGCCATCATTTTTCAGAAAATAACTTTTCAAAAGCACGATCTTTTGAGAATTTTGCTTTTAGGGACCTTTTCCATTATCGGGGGGGGGACCAACCTTTGATCTTAGGATCTAATTTTTCAAATATAAAGAGTGGAAGTGTTTCTAAACTTTCTAAATTCCTAAATATGAAAACTTTACACATTGGAAGTAAAAGATTCAAAATTATCAATTTTTCGACAAAAATTGCCGTTTTTGGTCAAAATCGACTCTATCAATAATCGACTCTATTAAAAATTTGTTAAAGTTTTAAGCTAAATAGTTGAAATCAATGAATGAATGAATGAATGAAAAGGAATTGCACTAAAAAATTATGAAAAGACTTCTTATTAAGCTAATAGATATTCCTGGACCTACGAAAAAAGCTAGATTCCTTAAAGACTTTATGACTTTTCGGTTTAAGTCATTAAATGTTCGAGTCACTGCACTTTTAAAATCCTGCAAGTCCACTCGAACTCGCAACTCGAACTCCTAAAGGATCTCTGATAGCTGTTTGTTTGTTTGTTTGTTTCTCTCTCTCTCTCTCTCTCTCTCTCTCTCTCTCTCTCTCTCTCGCTCTCATAACTTCTTAGATAGCCCAGACTTTCACCCGGCTTCAAAGCTCACTCCCATCCAGATCCGGATCGAAATGAAACAATCTATCCTTCCACCCACTCCACTGGCATATCAGTGAAATGGCAGATTGTCGATGAAGCGGATGGCTAGGCTGGCAGTGGCAGGAAAACTTGATTTTCGACATCCCGCACTATCCAAACCGAGCGGGGGATTTGGGGAAAATCTGGTGAGTTTGGATTCGCCAAAAATTGTGAAAAATAGTTGTTGTTTTGTCTCTCGCTCTCTCTCTCCCTCTTTCTCTGCCTAGATCATCATTCATCATCATAACTTCCTAGATCATCCAAAATTTATCCTGACGTCAAATAGTTTTAAAACTACATCATGCTCCTCAGAACGGAGCAAACGGTCTAGTCTCCAAGTAGTGCTTGAGGGCCGGAATCGATTCCACACGTTGGCGATGCTCGAGAAGTCGCGGATAATCATTCGCAAATCCTGGCGTCAGCCCGTCCATTCCCGCGACGTGAATCGAGAGTAGCAGATCAGCGTACGTCACGCTGTCGCCGACCTGAAAAGGATGTTCTGCAAGAGAGAGAGAGAGAGAGAGAGAGAGAGAGAGAGAGAGAGAGAGAGCGAGAGAGAAACCTACCAAAAATCCAGTGCCATTTGAGCGCAAAATCTGCGAAAGCATCTGGAACATTTTGTTCCGCGCCGGGATCATCACCGAGTTGAAGAGCTGCTCCTGAATTCAGAATTTTGGAAGATTTTCGTTGTTCTACACACCTTATCGCCCGGCGCAAACCCGACGGCAACCACAAAATACGCCTTGAACTCGTTGAAATAGTCCTGGAACTGGTCGGCAATCGCGTCAACTTGGGCCTGCTCGACGTCGGTTTTGCCGGCGTATCCTGAAAGGGAAGCTTAGGCTTAGGCGTAGGCTTACGCTGGGCTTGGGCTTAGGCTTAGGCTTAGACTTAGACTTAGGCTTAGGCTAATGCTTAGGCTCAGGTTAGGCTTGGGCTTAGGCTTAGGCTTAGGCTTAGGCTTAGGCTTAGGCTTAGGCTTAGGCTTAGACTTAGGCTTAGGCTTAGGTTAGGCTTAGGCTTAGGCTTAGGCTTAGGCTTAGGCTTAGGCTTAGGCTTAGGCTTAGGTTTAGGCTTAGGCGTAGGTTTAGGCTTAGGCTTAGGCTTAGGCTTAGGCTTAGGCTTAGGCTTAGGCTTAGGCTTAGGCTTAGGCTTACCAAATCGCCTGCCGACAAAGCGCAGGATGGCCATCGATTGAGGGAGAAGCTCGCCATCCACTTCCAAAACGGGAAGTTGACCGAAGGGCATGTCTGAAAATTCATTAGCATCATCAGGAAATTCAGAAAAAAAAACTTTCTTGGCTTTTAAAGGTACCGGCAAGGCAAATTTCGATGCCCTAATCGCTTGGAAATTGCCAAAATTTAACCTAGTGTCTTGTAATCAGGATTTTTTTAATTTAAGGGAGCCTGTAAGGCACGAGAAATGGATTTGGTGTTATGGATTTTTATGGGTTTTATGGATTTTGCTAATTTTTGTGTCTATTCCAACGAAAAAAACGCACCAGCCTTGTGCTGCGGCCACTCCTCCATGCTGTAGCGCGTATCCTCAAACTCCTGGCCGGCCAGCGCGAATACCTGGCGGATCGGCTCCCCACGGGCGTACAGGCCAAAGTAGTGGAGTTTGTAATGCACCATTTTACCTGAAGTATCGATTGGCTCAAAAATTGGGAATTAAAGCGACTAGGAAGCGGCAAAATCGACCCCTTCTATCGACTAGGTCTCGACAGCTACGCGTTATTTTAAAATACGCTTACGACCAATCGATTTTCGGAAGCTTGGCGCCTTTTAGAAACCAAAAATTCAAGTTTTGATGCGTATTTTGGCGCCTCGCTTATTTGTCTAGACCTAGTCACCTCTGGGGTCGATTCCAGCCCTTCCTTGTCCCTTTAATTTAACCAAATCGGCGATAGAAAATTGAAATTGACAACAAAAACGCCAAAACCAATAAAGCAAAGGTGACGAGACGGGCCGGGAATGGTGTCCGAAATGGCGTTTTGCTGTTTGTCTTTGGCCTTGCGGTGCCCGGGACGAAGGCCGAATTTGGAGCGTCCGCTCTGGAGGGTGATAAGGGCACGTAGATTTATCAGCTTTTGCCGGCTAGATTGTGTCTAATACTATGAAGTTCAGAGAAACTTAAGCACGAGAGAGAGTGAGAGAGAGAGCGAGAGAGAGCGAGCGAAAGCGAGAGCAAGATATGCAGAAACAGAAAAACCAGAGAAAGTGGGTATGTGAGAAGCAAAGAGAGAGAGAAAAGAGAGGGAGAGAGAGAGAGAGAGAGAGAGAGAGAGAGAGAGAGAGAGTGAGAGAGAGAAGATCTGTCTCGTGTTTACCGTGTTATCGTATCCTGGCTTTTGATCAAAAATCTCTGCTAGCCTCCCCGTGCCTATTCTTTTTCGCAAAAAAACCTTTGCTAGCATGCCTTAAAAATCCTCTAAATCCTCCCAATTCCGATCTAATTAAAAATTACGGAATTCGGGTGGCGAATCGGGTAGATGGCACTGGTATCTCTCTCCCTCACATCCGGCTCCAAAAGGGAGGTGAAGCAGCCGTGGTGTCTCCCATTGCACTCGATGAATAATTTCGGGTGGGGGGGGGGCAGGGCCACACCGACACGATGGGCCTCACACCCCCCAAATGCCACACCGACCCGGGGCAGCATCCTCTTCTCACATCAGATGAGATGTCCCAGCCGGCGACGACCTCGATTCTGGAGGGGAATCGCTATTTTTTGGGGTTTATTGGCATCGTTTCTGAGGAAGCCCGCGATTTTTCGCATTCCTAAGGAGGCCCCGGAAGCTGGTCCACGGCCCCTGCATAGATTCCTGGCAAATAGCCAGATGCGTCCGCAACGCGACCGGCTGCATGAGCACTTGCGCCTTTTTGGACGTGAAAACGCTCGAATTTCAAAATTCTGACGCTATCTCTGGAATCCTCACCGAATTTCGATCATTCTAGACTTTTTGATCATCAATAGTGACCAGAGAATCGCCGAGATAGATAGATTGGATGCCTTACAAGGCATTACGACATGTACGCGCGCACTCAAAAGAACTTTTGCCCAGAGAACTTTTCGGTTTTACTCAAATATTTTACGTTTTTTTCGCAACAAAATCACTTTTCTGATACTCCTCGGCATCTTCGCTTTTTGACGAATAGGTTCATTCTCCCGCACGGGCGAATTTTCACTTCCGGTCCCTTTAAAGGATTACGTTGAATTAGCTCGGCTTTTCCATTCCGGAAGCAATTGCGGAGAGAGAGCTAGAGAGAGAGAGAGAGAGAGAGAGAGAGAGAGAGAGAGAGAGAAAGAGATAGCAAGAGAGAGAGCATGAGAGAGAGAGCGAAAGAGAGTGAGGGAGACAGAGTGATAGAAAACGAGAAAGCCTGACCCTCCCATGTTATGACAAATTTCATTCATATTTAGCTCTCTCTATTTGCACACGACCATGACCACGGTCATTACTGATTCCCCCGGAGGTTCCCACGTCCTCATATGGCAACAACACACCGTCTCTCTCTCTCTCTCTCTCTCTCTCTCTCTCTCTCTCTTCCGTTTTCCGTTGCCCGGCTACTTGCGATTTATTTCGTGCCATTGAACTGGGAGCGCCGACAATATGTAGATGGATGCAGCGTCCGGTGGAGGCAGCAAAATATCCTGGCTTTTCGGGCTCGTCCGAAATTGTAGTTGATTCAAGAAAAAGTCAACACTTCTTGATTATCTTGTTTACTCTCTTCCCTTCCTGGCACGCTCCTTTAAACTCCAATTTTGGCTTTTATCGTATCTTAAAAAGCTGGCAGCTTCGGATTCAGACAGGGGCAGACTAACAGTTTACTTTCAAGAACCCAAATTTTGGGTTCTTTCACATTATCGAGGGACCGATTTTTTTTCTCTCGCTCACCGCTTTCGGAGCCCGACTAGCCTTCAATGGTCCTTGAAAAGGTTATTTTCAAAAATACAATTTTCAGGCTCTTTTGCATTATCGGGGGAGCCACTTTTTTCAAATGTCAAAGGAGTAGTGTTTCTCAACAGTCTTTACTTTTCCTGAACGTAAAAATTTAGAGAATTTGATTAGTAAATACCAAAAGGATCGATTTTTTTCGACGAAAAAGGGCCTTTTTGATAAAAATGTCGATTATTTCTAATTCGAATGTCGAAAAAGGGACTTTTTTATTTCTAATTGAAATATAGTTAATTTTCCTGAAACCATATTGTTTCGAATTAAACGATATTGTTAATTTACTAGGCATTTCCAGACTTTGCCAAAAAGCGCCTTCCCCCCCGATAATGCGAAAGAACGGAAATTTTATAGTGACGAGCTTTCAGGAGTTAACTGGAAACAAGCAGAGATCCTTTTGGAACGTGTCACAGCTTTCGGAGCCCAAGCTACAACCTGATCCTGAGCCTAAGCCTGAGCCTAAGCCTAAGCCAAGCTTAAGCCAAAGCCTAGGCCTAAGCCTAAGCCGAGGCATATCTATTTTTTTGTTTTCCAACCCGGAAACCGAGCTTGTCAAGCCATCCGGAAAGTAGCGGACTTGTGCCCTGCAGGCAAAAGCCCGAGTAAAAAGGTATCCAATTTCCCCCAGTAGCTCACTACTTTCAGGACAAACTCCAAATAGTAAGCCTCCCCCACCCCAACAGCCGGCTCATTTCCTATGGCTAATCCGATTCCCAGGGACGCCACCCATTTTTGGGGGGTGGGCCGGGGGTCGTGAAATTGGATGTAACGCCGTTTTATGGCATTTATTTTTGGGTCAAAATTAGCATACGATTTTTAGAGTCGTTTCACGACTAGGCGCACCAATACTGGCGCACTGGCTCGATTTTGTATGATTTAATCACTTTTCTGGCTTTTTACTTTGAAATTTTTGATTTATTTTATAGGATTTTTTATCTACCCTTCTATAATCTGTAGCGATTGCCCTAGGCTTAGGCTTAGGCTTGGGCTTAGGCTTAGGCTTAGGCTTAGGCTTAGGCTTCGCCTTAGGCTTAGGCTTAGGCTTAGGCTTAGGCTTAGGCTTAGGCTTAGGTTTAGGCTTAGGCTTAGGCTTAGGCTTAGGCTGAGGCTTAGGCTTAGGCTGAGGCTTAGGCTTAGGCTTAGGCTTAGGCTTGGGCTTAGGTTTAGGCTTGGGCTTAGGATTAAGTTTCTGTTTGGGCTTGTGATTGTGCTAGGATTGTGGAATTAAAGTGTTTTTGGTCAGGATGGAACTCCGAAAAGCTAAAAATGTTTTTGTTTTTAGAATTTTCGACGATTCCGTTTTTAGCCTTATCCGCACTAATGGGCGCTGAGGTCTCGTGCTCTTAAAATCAAACCACTTTTACGCTCCCAAATTCGTCCATCTCCGGATCAATATACCCACTAAAAAGCGGTCCTTCCGATAATTGTTCGTGAAATCTCGAGAAGGCCGGGCGAGGACTTACGGGCTGGATGACGACCCGTATCCGCTTCCGGCCTGCCATAGGCCTGGGTGCACCAAAGATTTAGGAGGGCTTGGTTGGGTTCTACGCTTTTTTGAGCTTTGTAGTTTTAGTAGACTTAATATCAAAGAAACCTAGAAATTTTAATGATGCACTTATGTACACTAATAAACCGACTTCCACGTCTCCTACATTCGATTAATAGATCTACTTATACAGTGTATCCTATCTTATATCGTGCTTTATGTTTTAAAGGACAGTGACAGCGCGTTGTTTGCATTCTTATTCCCTTAAAATTAATATCTATATTCGGGCCTATTCTTCAGAATAAACTGCCGTCAATTTCCCTGTGTAGCCCCACCCCATTGGCCGGATTAATAGGGCTGCTGCACAAAATTTATGCGCTTCGGACAGCTTGATGGCTAGAGCTGGAAGGAGAGGTCTGCAAGTAGGTATATATGGGATATAAATTGAGCCGTTGTAAATTTATTTTCGTTCATTTTCCCAGGGAATCTCTGCTAGCCTGCCCCTCCCATTCCCAAAGTATCTCCGCTAGCCTGCCCCTTCCATTCCCAAATGATCTCTGCTAGCCTGCCCCTTCCATTCCCAAATGATCTCTGCTAGCCTGCCCCTTCCATTCCCAAATGATCTCTGCTAGCCTGCCCCTTCCATTCCCAAATGATCTCTGCTAGCCTGCCTCTTCCATTCCCAAATGATCTCTGCTAGCCTGCCCCTTCCATTCCCAAATGATCTCTGCTAGCCTGCCCCTTCCATTCCCAAATGATCTCTGCTAGCCTGCCCCTTCCATTCCCAAATGATCTCTGCTAGCCTGCCCCTTCCATTCCCAAATGATCTCTGCTAGCCTGCCCCTTCCATTCCCAAATGATCTCTGCTAGCCTGCCCCTTCCATTCCCAAATGATCTCTGCTAGCCTGCCCCTTCCATTCCCAAATGATCTCTGCTAGCCTGCCCCTTCCATTCCCAAATGATCTCTGCTAGCTTCCCCTTTCAGCCCATTTCCTCAAGAATCTCTGCTAGCCCGCCCCCCCGCTGACAAATAGGTATACAATTGAGAGGGGGTCGTTCATTTCTCGGTGTGCCCTATCCGGGGCGGTGGGTGCCCCGCATTATCCAATTCTGGCCCCCACACACACCACCTAATTCTCGACCCGGCTCGCCCCCTGCTCTAGCGCCAGGAACGGCTCCTGGTGCCCGCCAATTTT